CATTTATAACTTTCTTAGATCAAAATCTTATTTAGCTTTTTGCTGTTTATTTCAAATTCTTAAGCTAATTTTTCTTATTGTTCAGAGTTGAAGATAAACTCACCTGATGAAGACTTCTCAAACTTGTCATTCCGAAGGTCTCTAACAGCTTTGAGATGGTTAATAGGCAATTTCTGAAATTGATTAGAAAGTGAGGTTTGCAAACTTAGTGTCCTTTAAAGGCTCCACCACAGTCGCAAGCAAAATGGCTGATCCCCTTGTCTCCCAGCGCTTAACCCAAGGAAAGCCGCTGTTCTGTGGTCTCCTCGCAAGAAACAGCCATCTGGAGCACATGTGGGGGATCTCCCATCCTCTTCTTATCCAGAGAGGTTCCAAGGAATGGTCTACTTACCAGTTCCTTGGTCTTTGCTGCAGTCGTCAGCTCGGCTTTCGCAGAGCCATCTTCAGTTCACCATACCTCTCCCGGAAGTCTCCAAAAGATCTATCTTCCAATGCTTATCTATCCTTCTTTCCTTGGATTATTGATTATCCTGGCGGGTTCCAGTTCAAAGCATGGGACTTGATACACCTGACTATAATGAATTACCCAATAACAAATTCCAACCTGTTGAAAAATCCAATACCCATATACTTATTAGGCAAAACAAAGAGGCAATGTGAGCTACCAGCATTTGGCAGGATAGAATTTCTCTTTGTAAACAAGTTGCTTGATATGCACCATATGTAGATTCTGAAAAAGAATCTACTGGCTTGTCCAGATTTTGGCTTAGTTGAATCCCAGAACAAACTAGAACAGTTCAACAGAACCTCTGAAAACTTGTTTTCCATTTCATGCACATTCTACTGAAAATGTAGATTTGTAACAGGTGTCAAAACAGAAGATGACAGTGATATAAAAAAAAAAAATCACTAAGCAGCCAGTAGATTAAAAACAGGCATTTTATCTAATCATTTATGAATATGAACAAAAAGTCAATCAATAAGAGAGAGATCACCTTCCTCAGTAAACTGAAGAAGATAGGAAGCTGAAAATACCTTACCCAAACTCTATTCCCAAACTTGGAAACCAACAAATGTGTTAAGAAAGAACTGGATGATTTTTTAGATACAGTAATAACACAAGAAGGGGATGGTTTATAATAAAAAGATGGAGGGGGTTGTCTGTTTTACATTCTGATTTTTTAAAAAAGGAAATTACTGGTCATCTTAAACTTTCTTGGTAGAAATAGATAAACTATCTGGGTAAAGTTAACTCTTCTGAAGATAACAACTATTAACTCTTAATATCAACTATTAATTCTTCAGAAGCTAACTCTTCTGAAGATATCAACTATTCCAAGCTTAAATAGGTCCTGAGGGATTTCCCCCATTTTCTTCTTCTTGTGCAATTTGTAGCAAAAACAGAGATGTCCCTAAGCATGATTCCTGAAACATTTCAAAGGCAGTTGTAAGAGTTAAAGAGTTGTGGACTCTGTACGCAAGGCTTTTGTTTGATTGATGCCAATTGATCAGAAAAACAAAGTCTGAGAATGTATGGAGCTACAGCAGGAGAGGTAGAAAGGCTTGAACAAACAACTTTTTAAAGCATGTACTCAATTATACATTCTCCTAGACCCCAGCTCTTTTTAATCCTTCCTGCTCATATGAGAGACTAGCAAAAAGCATTGAATACTGACTCAGACATATTGTTACAACATGTATCCACAGAGCATTGTGACTGGAGCTCTTGGTAAAGCCATTCATTGTGACCAGGGACTATACTTATCAGTTACAACCACATCTCTATCCTCTCCCTCACCACTATCCCTTCCAGAGCTTTCTGTTAATGTTGAGAGCTTAGGAATGAATGCATTTATTTTTGCCATTACCACTGTTCTGGGCCCTCTGAAGTTCAAATCCTTTCCAAAATTTTGTTACTTTAGTTTCAGCCTTCTTTAGAGGAGTAGTACTTCAATTCAGATGCTCCTGCTCTCAAATTTATCCAAGTCAGGCT